AAGTGACCTAAAATGTATTATGTTGGCGTGTAAATATACATCGGCTTGATTTCGTAATAATCATCCTGTTCTGATTAGGCATTGTTAAACACGTATACGCAGGTATTAGCGTTCACGCTTACTCTCGTGTGTTTTAATGATTAACTCCATTCGTGTATTAATTCGTGTATTCATTTTGTATTAATACATAACATAGATGCTGTGTAGGTAAATTCCGTGTTTGAAAATGTTGATTGCAATTCAGCTTCGTCAAGTGGTATAATCCCTTCCTTTTTTCTTCCCTCGTTCTTTGAGTAAAATAACCCAAGGATTTTATTTGTACGTAATCCAAATGGCTTGGGTATCTCGATAGCATTACACAACAAAATAAGCAAAAGGATTACTATTACCGAGCGTGTACCCTATTTCGGTTGAGAGTAAACTTACGTTTACTCTATGTATATATTTTCCGCATGCATTCATTCACCCTCATTTCTCTCATTCAGCTATCTATATCTATGTAGCAGTGTATATAGTAAAAGATAGTACACTTAATTCCTTTGCCAGAGTGAAATTTCTCTCTCTCCCTCTCTCTTCTCTTTCAGTCTGACTGCATATATATGAACAGCTGTAATTGGGGGGAGGGGGAGAGGAGAGAGAGCTTGTAATTCGCAACTTTGTATCGTCAAAGACTCGTGCGAGCACCGTTCGCAATCTACTTTTGCAATTGCCAAGTACGTCGATTCTACTTATAAGTATAATATATATTATATGAACGTATGCATCAAGTCCATGTGTAAGGGGCTTTGAAATCTTCTATTTCTCCGCGATCCATCTAAATACTCTTGTTCATTCACGAATCAATCATTCATGTACATTCATACAAGCGCCTCATTCCCTTCCCCACTTGCGCACGTCATCGAGCATCGAAAAATTTAATCATGCTCACATTGAGAAATTTATTTTCATTTTTGTCAATCCGATTAAAAATAAGGCGAGTAAATCTTTTATTTATTCCAAAAAGTTATTTCTTCTACGAAGCTATGTTTAGTAGTTGTTTTTTTAAAAATTTCAAAATCAAGTAGTATGAGTCAAAATTCCGTCAGACAATACTCATTTGTCTCTTTTGACTAAATGCTTTTAAAAATGTTTATTCCTTACTCGAACGCAAGTTGCACTTATAAGTCGGAAAGAACCTTTTTATGTAGTACAAGTACCATTATCTTCACTACCACCATCATCTTCGTGTAGGCACTTTGGTTCCGCACGCTATTCCCTTGTCTTTAATTATTACGAGAAAATTACCCCCCGCTACCTCTGGCACGAATTTCTAATGGAAAAATAAACTTATTCTGAGCTTATTTTTATCTCTGTAATAATATACAACGATTTTTTATCCACAGTCTTATCATCAGCTCTTATGAACTAAGTTTATAAAACGTCTCAATCTTGAGAGCTGGGTGCAGTTTACAGGATTTTCTTATTTATTTACAAGGCTAAAATTCTTGCCCTGTTAGCTAAGGAAAGTTAAGCATCGATCTTGAAAAACTTTATGGTGTCCAGCTTTACCCGAGCAAAATCACACGATCTTTTTATCTTTAACTATTGTACAATTACTAGAACACCGAATCAACATACAAAAATTCTCACAGGGATTAATTAGTGGGTAGATTTTTTTTTATTTTTCGAAAATATCTACAGCATGAGATAGTACTAGTTTAGTTGGTCGTTGAAGATATTCAAGGCGAACTACTTTTAGCAGTGCTGCGCGGAAAAAAGAGAGTGAGAGCGAAAGAGAGAGAGATAGAAAGAAAGACAGAGCGAGACGCGCGCGCAGTTTCTTCCCCCAGGGGAAATATCCTGGTTTCTCAATCCCAAAAGTTTAATGAATTTTCTCGAACTCAAGAGCTTTGCGCGAACATGACTACTGACGACCCCCTTGATCTTCTCACGTCATCGCCAGGCCGCCTCGTCTTTTATATTCATCCATATAAATTTTCGGCAAACGCCTTTACCTTCGCCTTTCTTTCTCTTGAAAAAAAGCAAAGTTCAAAGCTTGGCCAATGCACGCGTATACACATTAAATGCGCACGCGCGTCAACGTAATCGGAAATCAAAGTATACAGAGTCGCAGAGCGAAAGAGAGATGCCCGATATATATTCGGTTAAAGGCCAATTCATTATCAGTCTGTGTATGTGTTCTTCATTCTCTCGCGCCTGCAGTAAATATACATACAATCGGTTGATACAAAGCGTACCTTTTGTAAACATACACGCCAATGCTATACTCTTTCTCTCTCTTTCTCTGTCTGCGCGTGAAGACAAACTCAATTTGTCCGTGTCTGTCCGTGTGCGTACAAACTATAGCAACGAAGCTGTCGCGCATTTTGTTGTGTTTCACTTTGAAAAATCAGTGCCAGGAAGCTCGATGTATAATCTCAAACGTCCGCACGGGCGCATATTTAATTTATATAGTGTAATCAAACTGCAAACGCGCTTGAACAAATTGTATCATTTAGACATCAATCAGGTCGATCCGAGAGGCGGCTGCGCGACCAATGGTTCCGCTCGATTTAAAGGCGCAAAAATTTGCCGTCTACCTGGGTTGTGCGGCGTAATCCGCGACAAACTCGAAATTACAATAACAATGAGCGAGGGACATTGTGTAATAGCGGAGCGGTGCGGCGGCTGTGGGGCGTTGCTATAAATTGATGAAATTCAGAGCGAGCGAGATGACAATAAAATTTCGCCTAATTAGACGTTGGCTGAATTTTGCGCATATTTTGAGGCCAGGCTTTGCGAGCTGAGCGCGCTCCGAGTTGAAGTTACAACTTGAACTTTGCAATGGAGTTGCGCGAATGGCCAAACGCCGCAAACTAAATTCGTTACGAATTTATCATCGCGTTGTTAACTGAACGAATCTACGAACGCGTACGTACACGTATAATGCGGATGCACGCGCGGCCGAGTTCAAACTCTCTTTCTCTCTTCTGTCTCTGTCTGTCTCTCTCTCTCTCTCTCTCTTTTGCATGCCCGCGAGAGAAATTATCGGTGATGAATAAATCAACTTCGGTGCTACACGCTAAAAATATCGATAAATGACAAGCGATAAAATACGCAACTATAGTTACGTACTATAACCTTATGTATAACGTATACACTGGCCAAGTAGCGAGCTGCTCTTTGCATATGTTTTATATATATCTAAATAATAAAAGAACGACCCTTCAATGAAAATCGATTGCATCATCTCTTGCCGGCAAGAGAGTGAAAAAGAAAGAAGCGAGCAAGAGCTTTTTTATCTAGCTGCATCTTAAACTATAGAAAAGAGAAGAAGCAGAGCAGCGAAGAAGCTAGTACCTTTGATCGGTCTTGCGCGTAGCTCTGTCGCAAGCTTCGATATGGACTTGCTATAGTCATCTCGAAATATCGCTTATCACCGGGCAAAGCTACCTCGAGGCTCTCTCTCTCTCTCTCTCTCCCTCGATCTATAAAGTATATACCTATAAAATGCTATAGAAAGAGATGTACGTCCAGCAATCACGCGGACCGGCGTAATGACAGTACAGCTTCTTGTTCTTAATTGACAATTAGGATTCTAATCAGAGCAGCGCAACTTGCTCTTATCCCTTGCGTGCCTCGACTACTTTTTCCCTTTTTTTCTTCTCTTTCTCATCCTCCTCGCTCCCTTCATCCTTATCTTTTTCGCATGATCACGCGACGAGTGCAGATTAATACCTCCTCGTCCCCGTCGCCGCTCTTTACTGCTGCCTCATTGTTTCATCTTTTAGTGATTTTTAATAATTATTCGAGGCACGATTACATCAGCGCGTAATTATAATTAATTTCTCCAAAGTATTTTTTTGATTGAAGCAAATTAACGCGCTTACGATGGCAACGCCGGGGGCTTGAGCGCCAGCCTCTTAATTTGGAAAACAAAATTTATTTCCTCGACAGAGAAGTAGGTCAGCAGTGTGGGATCGTTACATATATTGCTTTTGCAGCTGTATGCTTGTATACATACACACATCCATGTACGTATAAAATTTCAATCTCCTTTAGTAAACATTGATTCAATTAAAGGCTTGAAAGCGCGTTAAAAAAAATATTTTATTATTCCCTGTACGAATTGAAACGTTTCCCGATCCGACCCTCGTTCTTCTCCCTATTCTCCCTATTCGTGATTCGCTACACACTGCGCCCTGATAAATCTTGCATGTAATTTTTTTCTCATAAATCTTGTGCCCTTTTTTCTTTTGTACGCGACGATGATGGTGCTAGATTTGTTCGAGCTGATGGTACACTGTCCAATGCGTAATTCCAATTTAAAAAATAAAAGCCTTCAACTCTATTTCTGCTTTTAATTCTCTACAAATAGTTTTTTTTTTGGAAGATACTTGATTTTAAATCAGCACGAAGCATATAATGTATACATTTATATAAAATGTATTTCTCCTGCGAGAGGGTGAATAGAGACAAAACGTAGCTAGAATGCACATCCGATAACGTCAGGTTACATACAAGCTTAGAGCCCTGACAATCATACGCACATATCATAGGTGCACACAAATGCAGAAATCATTCTCCCATTAATATATGTATATAATCATAATGCGTCAAACCCAAAAAAAGAGAAAAATGTCAATAATCCACCCATTCGTTTTGCGCTATACACTACCGACCTCAAGTTTGCCTAAATTCAAATTACACTTCGCATATATAGTAGTTAATAGAATAATTTTTTTTCATGATAGGAGCTTGTTATCATCGTGCCCTTGAGGCACAAGTGTACTTGAGCAAAATATACCTTCAAAGTTATAAGGAAACGTAATTAATAAATTATGATTGAACGACCAGTAGTTTTCATTAATTTTTCTGTAATAACATCATGGTGTAAGCAATATACAACTACTGATTTTTCAAAACATATAAATGTGAAAAGAGATGTTCAATAAACGCGTTTTATTATATTGTATAGAGCAATGAAGTATAAGCAATGAAAGTAAAAAGTAAAAAATTACCTGTTCCGTTTTCGCCGCTCGGTCTTATGCGGGCGTCGTAGCTGCTTGGGCCGAGGATATCGTCTAGCACTTGCTTCTCCTTCTCCCGGAAATTCATTTTCTTTCCTTGTTGCGCACATCTGCACAAAAATATACGTATAAATATACATATATCTTCTATATGTACGATGTATATGTTGCTTACACATTATTATAATCTACTCTGGTAATACATCACTGAGTGAGCAGTATAAGGTCAATTGCAAACGAGAGGTTAAATCGGGGTGGGAGGAATATGTATATATACGCTTAGAGTGCAAATAAGGAAATGAGAGCAAACTTTTTCTCAGAGAGCAGCAGCAGCAACTCTCGTTTTATTATCTCTCTCACTCTTTCTTCGGTTCAACTTTTCAGCTAACTTTCGCTACGCCTATCTTAGCTCTGTTTTTTTCTTAACTTTTTCACGCTCGGCCCCTAAACTAAAACGAACGGTCTTTTTTACTGAGTTATGAATTTTAAATTGCCTACTCCACAATCTGTTTTTATGTATGTGTACTTTTTTTCTCATTTTAAAAAAAATAAATTCTCATTTCCGTTTTTGTTGAATAAAAATAATCAAATTAAATATCGTAGGGGGAAAAAATTAACTCCTACTGACGTGCATGTTTTCCAGCTGCATTAGCAACACACCCAGACACACATGTGCACTAGCGAAATTCGAAAAAAGGTAACAACGAATTAAATATTTCGTAATTGGGGGCTAAACTTTACCTCGTGCTACATCATACGCGACATCCATCGCTATAATCCAAGGTGTCGACACTGAGTCGCAAACTCCACTTTTTCTGCTGTTAGTTATTTTTAACTAATTTAAAAAATGAATTTTTTTTTACTTTGTTTATTTTTAACCTTTTGTAGCAATAAAGAATGTTGTTGTTGTTGTTGTTGTTGTTGTTGCGATTGTTGGCGACTACATACAATGTTCGTATGAAATACCACAGCTGTCAAAAGAGTCGTGGAATTAACATAGAGCGCTTACTAGCCACAACAGAGGTTATATGCCGTGGCCGCAGCAGTCGGCTTTCGGCGCAACGAGAATTGCTCATAATGAGAATTGGTGCGTGCAGCTGCATATTGTTGCGGTGCGAGCAAATATCAGAGAGTCTTTCAAAAGAATCGATCAACGAGTTGTCGCGAGTAGAAAAGAGAAAATTCAATATCGCACGAAAATCCGTGAACAAAATTAATTTCGCGCTCTGAGAAATTAAAACGTCGTATGCGTAAATAGATTTGTCAAGCGTATAAATCGCTCGTTGCCGTATTAATGAAGCAGGGGCTGGATTAAATGAAAAACGATCTTGTAGTGTTATACTACATCACAACAACCACAATCTAGAGTCGTATGAAAATGCGAGAAATAACATTGCAATGGGAACAAGAAAAAGGGATAGCAAAAATGTTATCTCGTTGTCATGATCGTATAGCAATAATAAAATACATCGGCGTCGACGTAATATTTACAATGATTCGACACTTGGCGTATATTTTTTGTATACAGATATAAGTTTGACGTTGGTAGGTATGTGTATTGTGTATATATGTGAGTATAGGAAACGGGAGGTACAGGGCGCATCATAGCCCGCGGTCGTAGCTGATCGATTTCCACTACTGCTGGCGCTGCTGTTGCTGCTGTCGTCGTCAACGTTAGAGAGAGAGAGAGACAGAGTAACAACGAGCCAATTACGATGTCGTCGCGAGAGAGATAGAACATGTATATATAGTAGCCTACGCCCTTTACGTATATATACATACATATACTTGTACATGGATGTATATATATTTCTCTCTCTCTCTCCCCTCTTGCCTTCATCAAGTCATCAAGGCTAGATATAATCAGAGATATCGTTGTCGTACTCGTAGTTTATGAGTGAAAATCTGTGCGACGAGGCCTACTGCGTGCGCGGCCGAGTGCCAGGGGCAGCAACAACATGAATAAGCCTAGAGGCCATTTAATCCACTTTATGAACGATCCCTATAGTCCCCCACACTCGTCGCTCTTGTATATCTGTATAGCTAGCTGCAATTTGCAAAGGTGTAGAGCCACGTGTGTTCTTTACACTCTGCAGCCGCTTCGCTGTAGTGCTGCGACGATCCCAGCCTATAACATGCGCATATAGCTTGTTTACAAAATCCAGAGGATTCGATACGTTTTAAAGCACGCGCGAGCGTAAAGAATGATTTTCCCTGCAGCTACTAGATAGAAAAGGTTTATCCAAAAAACTACCTGACAGGCAGAGAGAGAGAGAGAGAGAGAGAGAGAGAGAGAGAGAGAGAGAGAGANGAGAGAGAGAGAGAGAGAGAGAGAGAGAGAGAGAAAGAGAAAATTCCTGTACTCCGTGCACGGTCAACTTATTCGTCGGTTTGTACGTGATTATTATACTCGTTGCTGAGTATGCATCAAGCTTTTGCACATTTTTTGCAACGAAATTTCAAGCACAGAAAATTTTTCGTCGCCATCGTCGTCATTTATTACGATCACGCGTCCGTGGCACGAGGAATAAAAGCAACACAGATAGAGAGAAAAAGGGAGAGAGAGATTATCTCGACAAATTGTCCATAGCAGTCGAGCGAGTTTTCTAATTCACTTCATTATTGTTGTCGCCGCTTGCAATTTCTGTGCGCCAAAAGCTTCATCATATAGTACTTTTGATACGTATACATGATTTTGCCAAACAAAAGGAAACTTTCAGGGTTTCGAGGAGCAGGCACACTCTCTCATATACATACACACGCGCGTACCAGTGTGCAGCGGATCGATAATAATTAATCGCAGATGCATATCTTGTCATTGTGTGCACGCGTGTGTGCTGCATATACTCTGACGATTTTCCGGCTTTCGGCTTATATATCCATAATCTATCCTAATTTATCCTCGAAAGCCCAAAAACAATGGGAGCTCGATAAGGCCATAATATCGAAGGTGATATAAAACAAATCGAGGTCAGGATGTTAATGAGTCACTTGCATCCCGTCGACACATACACATACTCATAACTTTTTGGTGCAACATGTAATTGGCTGATGAAAATACCCAATCTTTGCTGGCAAAAAGAGAAAGATTCAAACTCGTTACTAGCGATGCGATGAATATTCTTCTTTTGTGATTTGTTTACTTGGATGCGTTTCTCTTCTTCGCCGCTGTAACTTATATGCCTTTGTTGTGTCACAAACTCTCGAAGGCTTGAATTTACTCGTTGTATAGGATGAGCAGAAAAAAAAATTGCGAGCGACAGAGAGTGAGAGAGAGAGAAGCTTTACTACTCTGGCGGGCTTCTTTACCTCTAGTTTCTATAACGAGCCAGCGAGAGAAGCAAGCAGAGCCAAGTTTTGCGTTTGAGAAGTTTCTACTTTTTCTGTCTCTGTATATCTATATTTTTATTTATTTATATGTGTAGGTATGTACACAAACGTACATTATATGTACATATTTTCAAAGTATTATTTTTTTCTATCATTACCATTATTTTAGTACGCGGTTTCACAGCTGCAGCAGCGAGTAGAGTCTTACTTTTGGCTTTATGCAGCGATGAAAAGACTGGATTACCGCTGACAGTTTCTATATGATGAAACAAAAGACAAAAAGGATTCCCGACATCGAAACAGCGAGGACGTTACTGTCTCGGTGGGTTCGATCATCTTTTAATTACGCTGCTTGATCGTGGTTAAAATAGTTGAATGCGCTACTCGAAAAAGTCAAGAGCTCAACTCTCACGCTCGTTGAGCTTGGGGCGAACGACATCTAAACGCGTATAGGACTAAATGACGATCTATTCCGCAGAGAGGCACAGCGGGTGTTTATCTGATCAAACGCCACGAATCGCTGCTAGTGTCGGTGTTCGCGCGAGTTGAAGCGTATCTGATGACGACTATAATATTTAGTCAAGTAATGACGTATGGAAATCGCAAGCCTATACACAGCGAGCCTAGTGCCGCTAAGACCAGATAAAACGAAGCGAACAATCCATGTTTAGTAGGCGTTAAAACGTTATCTACATCGGAAAAGAACCTATACGCTTTAGTGCTACTGGGAGAGAGCAGTAAAATGATCGTGCGGGGCGTTCTAGTAAAGAAAAAAAAAAAAAAAAACGATTGTACCGGTAGTAAAGACACGAGCACTAGCTTCAATGGTGGACGAAACACGAAGATGACTTTTACGAGCTGCCGGCAGCATAGCCGACCTTTTATTTATTGCTTTCCGAACTGCCCTCCAAGTGGGCTCGCTTAGCCTCGACAATGCTTCGAGTTAGTTGATTACACGCGCGCAGCTTGATAATTATGCGACCGTTCAAAGTGGATCCTATGCACTATAGTCACATTCACCTGATTTGTTTCCATTCGAAATGAGAGCTCGTTTTTGCCCAGCTGATTTCGTATCACGATTGTTTCGTGATCACATTGGTATGAATAAGTTGATGGAATGAAAAAAGAAGTGCGCTACAAATAGTTGCAGATCTGTTACAGTAAATAGGAACTCTGGAGAAGTGCACGAGGCAACTTCACCATTCCCAGTGGTATAGTTAATGAGGGAAACATAGCTGAAACTCGTCGTAACAGGCAGTTGAAATTATTATCCCATTTTATCCGAGTTCACATGCGTGTGAGCCAACAAAAAGTTTTGAGCTCACTGGTAGAGCAAGGTGTCGCAAACTAGCCCTATTGCCGGCGCATGTCTTACAAGCGTGGAAGATGCTTGTAGACTGCGCATCATACCTATATCTATGGCTGGCGCAGCCACTGACGCCGCCGACGTTGCTGCAGTCATCTTAAATTCAAACCTGCTAGCTGCTTCCCTTACTACGTACAAAAGTTACCTTGTCTGACTCTCTCTCTCTCTCTCTCTCTCTCTCTCTCTCTCTCTCTCTATCTCTCTCGCAAGCTCTGTGTGCGTGTTTGCGAGAATCGTAGTTTACTCGTGCTCAATATTTGTTTACCCTTGCCTCGTGTTCTATATATCTGAGTATGTGTATGTTCGTATATATGTATGTGCGCAATGGTGGCTGCATATACTCGTGCATGTGTGCGCCTATGTAGGATAGGAAGCTGTAAGTGAAACCGCACGAACGGTCTCTCTCTCTCTGTA